TCAAGAAACAGACCCTTAACTATGGGGCGCCTGGGTGGCTCAGTCGGTTAAGCTTCCGACTCTGGCTCAGGTCATGATCTCGCAGTTTGTGAGTTTGAGCCCCGCGTTGGGCTCTGTGCTGACAGCTCAGAGCCTGGAGCCTGCTTCGGATTCTGTGTCTCCCTCTCTCTTTGCCCCTCCCCTGCTCATGCTCTGTCTCCATCTGTCTCAAAAATAAATAAAACATTAAAAAAAAAAAGAAAGAAACAGACCCTTAACTATGGAGAACAAACTGATGGTTACCAGAGGGGAGGAGGATGGACGCATGGGTTACATAGGTGGTGGGGATTAAGGAGAACACTTGTTGTGATGAGCACTGGGTGATGTACGGAATTGTTGAATCACTAAATTGTACACCTGAAACTAATAAAACACTGTATATCTTTTAAAAATGGGCATAGGACTTGAATAGACATTTCTCCAAAGAAGATATTCAGATGGCCAACAAGCAAATAAAAAGATGCTTAACATCATTAGTCATTAGGGAAATGCAAATCAAAACCACAGTGAGGCACTGCTTCACACCTACTAGGATAGCTATAAAACAACAACAGAAAATAACAAGCGCCAGCAAGGATGTAGAGAAATTGGGACCCTTTTGTGTTGCTGGTGGAAAATGGTTCATCCACTATGAAAAAGTTTGGCAGCTCCTCAGAAAGTTAGACATAGAATTACTGTATGACCCCTCAATTCCAAAGAATTGAAAAGTTACACAAGTATATGTACACGTACATGTATAATAGTACTATTTACAGTAGCCATAAGGTGGTTATAGCCCAAATGTCCCTAGTTGGATGGATAAACAAATTGTGGTGTGTGTGTATATACATACACAATAGAATGTTATTTGGCCATAAAATGAAGTGAAGTATGATACATGCTGCACCATGGATGAGCTTCTAAAACATTATGTTAAAGTGAAAGAAGCCAGGGGCCCCTGGGTGGCTCAGTCGGTTAAGCGTCCGACCTCAGCTCAGGTCACGATCTCACATTCCATGAGCTCGAACCCCACGTCAGGTTCTATGCTGACAGCTCAGAGCCTGGAGCTTGCTTCAGATTCTGTGCCTCCATCTCTCTGCCCCTTCCCTGCTTGCTCTCTTTCTCAAAAATAAATAAATGTTTAAAAAAAATTAAAAAGTGAAAGAAGCCAGACACGATGGTCACATATTATATGGACCTGTTTGTGTAAAATGTCCAGAATAAATGCACAGAGAATGCAGGTTGGTGGTTAGGATTGGGAGAAACAGGTTAGAGGAACGTTTTTACTTTGGAGTGATTGAAATGTTTTGGAACTAGATAAAGGTTACTGTTGCACACCATTGTGAATGTATTAAATGGCCCTGAATTGTTCAACTTTGAAATGGTTAATTTTATGTATGTGAATTTCATCTCACATTATTTTGTTTTGAGTGTAATGATACAAGAATATAAAAAGGTATCAGAACACTCATCTGGTATTTTTCACACTTAGTACTGCAGTTTGTAATATAAGAGGAAGAGGGGAGTAAAACAAAAGTTTTGGACTAGATTTTTGAAAGATTAAAGCCATTAAAGGATTGGACTGCAAAGGCGGACAAATGGCATGGCATGAAGGAAAAAAGGGAACTAAAAAACAAATTATCGCTATCCTATTTCAACCAGAAGCCAGAGTTTAGCACCAAAATAATGTTAAGTTCAGATTTGTTTACTATATACAAAATGGTGGCCTGTGAGTTTTTTCAGGTTAGGTGCAGAATTACTATCTTAAATCTTGTGATCAGAACAAAGCATTTGTTAAAAAGACTGTCCTTTTTCCAATGGATTTTCTTTCTTGCTTTATTGAAGATTAGTTGACCATAGAGTTGTGGAGCCATTTCTGGGTTTTCTATTCTGTTCCATTGATCTATGTGTCTTTTTTTGTACCAGTATCATACTGGATTGATTACCACAGCTTTGTAATATAGCTTGAAGTTTGGAATCATGATGCCTCCAGCTTTGCTTTTCTTTTTCAGGATGACTTTGGCTATTCGGGATCTTTCCTGGTTCTATAGAAATTTTAGGATTGTTTGTTCTAGCTCTGTGAAAAATGATGATGTTATTTTGATAGGAATTTCATTAATTATGTAGGTTGTTTTGGGTAGCATAGACATTTAAACAATATTTGTTCTTCCTATCCATGAACATGGAATGTGTTTCCATTTCTTTGTGTCCTCTTCGGTTTCTTTCATTAGTGTTCTATGGTTTTCAGAGTACAGATCTTTTGCCTCTTTGGATAGGTTTAGTCCTAGGTATCTTATGGTTTTTGGTACAGTTGTAAATGGGATCAATTCCTTGATTTCTCTTTCTGCTGCTTCATTATTGATGTATAGAAATGCAACAGATTTTTGTATGTTGATTTTGTATCCTGCGACTTGACTGATTTCCTGTATCAGCTCTAGCAATTTTTTTGGTGGAGTCTTTGGGTTTTCTTCATAGAAAATCATATCATCTGCAAATAATGAAAGTTTGACTTCTTTGCCGATTTGGATGCCTTTTATTTCTTTTTGTCTAATTGCTGAGGCTAGGACTTCCGTTACTATGTTAAATAGTGAACACCCCAGTCTTGTTCCTGACCATAGAGGGAAAGCTCTCAGTTTTTCCCCAGGGAGGATTACATTAGCTGTGGAAAAAAAGACAGTCTTTTCAACAAACGGCATTGGAAAAACTGGACAGCAATGTGCAGAATGGAACTGGACCACTTACTTACACCATACAGAAAAATAAATTCAAAATGGATGAAAGACCTGAAGGTGAGATAGGAAACCATCAAAATGCTAGAGGAGAATACAGGCAGCAATCTCTTTGACATTGGCTAGAGCAACTTCTTACTAGACACTTTGCTGGAGGCAAGGAAAACAAAAGAAAAATGAACTATTGGGACCTCATCAAGATAAAAAGTTTCTGCATAGTGAAGGAAACAGTCAATAAAACTACAAGGCAACCTTTGGAATGGGAGAAGATATTTGCAAATGACATAGTTGGTAAAGGGTTGGTGTCCAAAGTCTATAAAGAACTTAACAAACTCAACACCCAAAAAACAAATAATCCAGTTAAGAAATGGACAGAGGACATGAAAAGACATTTTTCCAAAGAAGACATCCAGAAGACTAATAGACACATGAAAAGATGCTTGACATCCCTCATCATCAGGGAAATAGAAATCAAAACCATGATGAGATTCTACCTCACACTTTTCAGAATGGCTAACAGGAGACAACAGGTGTTGGTGAGGATGAGAAGAAAGGGGAACCTCTTACACTGTTGGTGGGAATGCAAACTGGTACAGCCATGTTGGTGGGAATGCAAACTGGTGCAGCCACTCTGGAAAACAGTATGGAAGTTTCTCAAAAAAATTAAAAATAGAACTACCCTATGACCCAGCAATTACACTACTAGGTATTTACCCAGAGGATACAAAAATACTGATTTGAAGGGACACATAGCCACATTATGGAAAGAGCCCAAACATCCATCAACTGATGAATGGATAAAGAAGGTGTGAGAGTGTGTGTGTGTGTGTGTGTGTGTGTGTGTGTGTTGGAATATTATTCAGCCATCAAGAAAAGAATGAAATGTGCCATTTGCAATAATGTGGGATGGAGCTGGAAAATATTATACTAAGCAAAATAAGTCAGAGAAAGACAAATACCATATGATTTCACATATATGTGGAATTTAAAAAACAAAACAGATGAACAGAGAGGGGAAAAGAAAGAGGCAAACCATAAAACAGACTCTTAACAATAGAGAACAAACTGAGGATTGATGGAGGGAGGTGGGAAGAGGATGGACTAGATGGGTGATGGGCATTAAGGATGGCAGTTGTGATGAGCACTGGATGTTATCTGTAGTGATAAATCACTAAATTCTCCTGAAACTAATATTACACTATATATTAACAAACTGGAATTTAAACAAAAACTTGAAAAAAAAAAGAACAAAGCAACATACTAGTGATTTCTTAGAAGATTTCAAACAAGTTAGTAAAACTAAGAAACAATGGAGTATATTTCTAGAGAAAAACCCTCACTCCTTTGTGCAAATATGAAAAAATAAGGCAGATGCACTTACATATGGGACATTCTTTTGACTTAGAATTTCAGTGAATATGTCCTCAGAGAATCTAGTGGGTAGGAGGAATTACTGTAATTAACTAAACTAATGTTACTTGAGTTCAGTACAGCAACAAAAGAACCAAAAAAAAAAAATGCAAATATGTCTTGTGCTTATTTAGGTTATAATATAAATCACCTATAAAGTGTAAAGAGAATTTTTGTATATGTTGATTTCTTTTTTTTTTTCAATGTTTATTTATTTTTGAGAGAGACAGAGCACGAGGAGTGGGGAGGGGGAGAGAGAGAGGGAGACACAGAATCCAAAGCAGGCTCCTGTCCCTGAGCTGTCAGCACAGAGCCTGACGTGGGGCTCAAATCCATGAACCATGAGATCATGACCTAAGCCAAAATCGGATGCTTAACTGACTGAGCCACCCAAGTGCCCCTATATGTTGATTTTTTTTTATTTTTTATTTTTTATTTAAAAAAACTTTTTTTAACGTTTATTTATTTTTGAGACAGAGAGAGAGAGACAGAGTATGAACGGGGGAGGGTCAGAGAGAGAGGGAGACACAGAATCTGAAACAGGCTCCAGGCTCTGAGCTGTCAGCACAGAGCCCGACGCGGGGCTCGAACTCACTGGCCGCGAGATCATGACCTGAGCGAAGTCGGATGCTCAGCTGAGCCACTCAGGCGCCCCAATTTTTTTTTATTAATGGTGACTGATGTTCACTTTGTTTTCATTATTTAGTAGCCTCTTTGTCACTTTAATAGATAATAATATTGGTTTTTTTGCCTTTGAGAAGATAAAAGAGTTGTGCTGTGTGAGACCCCCAAAAGTGCCCATTTTTGGCAGAATAAGAAAGTTAATCTTGCATTTGATTACAGATGATGAAAGCCATGAACAAGTCCAATGAACATGTCCTGGCAGGAGGTGCCTGCTTCAATGAGAAGGCAGACTCTCATCTGGTGTGTGTACAGAATGATGATGGAAACTATCAGACCCAGGCTATCAGTATTCACAATCAGCCCAGAAAGGGTGAGTATTTGAGGTGATTGACATGGTAAGAATATAAAGTTGTACCGGACATGGGAAGTTGGATATCTCAGCCCCATAACTCTCACTTTCTAGCGAGGTGAATTTTTAAATTAACTTTGATGAATTTAACCTCTCCATCCTTATTTTCCAAGATTATGTTGATTCCCCAAATAGCCAGACTCAAAGTTGCACATGGAATCTCTATTATTGAGGAGAACATGTTGAAAATTCTGCATCGGGATATTGTCATGGCCAGAACTGGTATTTGAAAGTAGGAAGACTAGGCCCCTTAGTGAGAATATACTTAGGTAGGTTTGAAACTTGTTGGATGACCATATCTAAAGAATGTTAATTAATAGGTTGACTGAACTCTGAAAGAAGGCTTCTTGGTTCAGTGGCACTCATAATGTGGGCTCATCACTTAGGAGATTGTTAGAAATGAAGGATCTGTACCCAAGATCTGCTAAATTACAATTTGCATTTTAATAAGGTCCCTGTGTTAAATGCACATTGAAATATAAGAAGCACTGTTTAAGGTGGCATTTCTTAAGATGTCTTATCAGGTTCTAGGGTGTTAAAAAGTACTCACATAAATGAAAGTCTTGCTTATTAGTACATTTAACTGATATTCCTGGGTTACAAGTTTAAACAGATTTCTTCACTATAGGACTTTTCAGAGCCTTTAACAAGGTGATATGATTTGCGTTTTTCCAAAAGGAAGATAGTGCCTGGCCCTTTGCAAATTTAGTTGACCATGAATCTGGTTTTTCCTCAGAACATCTTCCATAACTAACTTTCTTTAGTATGCCTTATGAAACACTTCTCTAGTTGACAGTGACATAGGTCACTGTCCAATATATTTTATAAATCAATTGTTTAGTAAAAGCATAAAAGGTCTTTGTCACATGTATATTCAACATATATCCAAAATAAGGTAGGTGATAAATCCACAATGCTCTCTGTTAGATCACACCTGGAATATTTGAAATAAGTTCTGGATATCATTAATGTAATTGATGATATCCATTGATAAAACTGCAGGTTCTTCTAAGGATGGTTCAAGACCTGTGAAAAATCTGGAAACTAGGTCAAAAGAAGACCTTTTGAATATAGTATGAATATGTAATCTGGAAAAGTTTAGATTGGCAGAGGGTGAAAAATAGCTGTCTCTATTTTTAAGGTTTTCCAGTGTGGGGAAATAACATCCAGCTTATTCTCTATAGCTACAAAAGGCCAGAGCCAGCACTACTGGGTGAGAGTTAAAAGGATCTAGGTCTAGACTCAGTTTGAGAGCACATTCTGTAAGGCTGAGAGTTATCCAGAAGTAGAAGGGGCTGCCTAGTGCCATTGTGGGCTCCTTGTCACTAGAAATCTTTGACAAAGCCTGGATGTTTACCTGTTAGAGATATTGCAGGGCCAATGGGCAGAAAGGTGGATTAGCTTAGTCCAATTTAAGATGTGGAGGAACATAGAGGCTCCTGGCTGGCTCAGTTGGTGGAGCTATGCAGCTCTTGATCTTGGGGTTCTAAGTTCGAGCCCCACGTTGGGTGTGGAGATTACTATAAAAAAAATAAAATCTTGGGGCATCTGGGTGGCACAGTTAAGCGTCCAACTCTTGATTTCAACTCAGGTCATGATCCCAGTATCATGGAATCAGGCCCCACATTGAGCTCTGCCTGCTTAGGGTTCTCTCTCTCCTTCCCTCCCTCCTTCCCTCTCCCCTGTTTGTATATGCGTACTCTCTCCAAGTAAATAAATACGTAAATAATTTTTTTTTTTAATCTTAAAAAATGATATGGAGGAGCATAGTGAAATTTTCTTAAAGCTAAATGTAATTAAATATTCTTTTTTTCATGAAGAGGTAATGGTAATGTGTTGGTCTTTTCAATAGGTATTTATTTATTTATTATATATTTTTTTAAAGAAATCCACTCATAAATAAAATGGTTGCCAACCATATCTCTATCTTCAAAATATATTTTATCTGAAAAATAAAGGTATTAGATCAGCCATCACTTTTCTGTGAATGGCTAGGTGATATATTAGGTATTGCAAGCCTGTGGTCTTTGTCCCCAATTACTCAACTCTGATATACTTCAAGCACTGCCATAGACAATATGTAAGTGAGTAGAAATGGCTGTGTTCCAATAAAATTTTATTTTCAAAAACAGGCTGCAGGCCAAACAGGCTGTAGTTTGCCGAACCCTAGACTGGACCACTAAGATTCCTTTGCTTGTAAGATTCTTTAATTCTTGATTGGAGGGAGAGGAAAACGAAATGGGGAGTGTATCTTAAAACTTCATTCCCAAAGCATCAGAATTACTGGTTACTTGTATATTGTGGTGTATAGAGTCGTTGTTTTTTGTTTTCTGTAGGATGATGGTTGGGGTTACCAACTACCAAATATTTCAGTATTGTTCTGAGTCTTTTGATCTCAGGGCCTATCTTTACTAAACTATTTATATTACTATTTTAGTGACTGGTGCCAGTTTCTTTGTGTTCAGTGGTGCTCTGAAATCTTCTTCCGGATATCTTGCCAAGTCCAGTATTGTGGAAGGTAAAGAATAAGTTATTTATTGCCTGTGTTTAGTTCAGGCCTAATTATACAACTTAAAAAGCAAGGGATGTTGGGGTACCTGGCTGGCTCAGTTGGTAGAGGATGCGACTCTTGATCTCCAGTCGTAAGTTCAAGCCCCATGTTGGGCATAGAGCTTACATAAAAAATAACAATAATAATAAAAGTTTAAAAAAAAAATAAAAAACAAGGGGTGTTAAGTGAAACCATAACACTTTTACGGTAGACTTCTTACTCCTATTATGTATTCAATAGCATCTTACTCTTCAGCTAATTAATACTGTCATATAGGTACTTAGGTCTCTAAAGAAGGAAGTAAGTGGTACCGATCTCATGGGACAGTGACAGAAAAATTAAGAGATGGCCTTTCAGAGCTCTGGGAGAGGGTACCCAAGGGGACATAATCTGAGTTCAAATATATCACTGGGCTCATATCTGTAAACTTGTAGATGGAGTTCAGTCTGGCTTAACTCACAGGAATGTGCATTCATTATTTGGGGTGCAGAATGGTATGTGCTTGCTGCTGGTTTCCTATAATTAGACTTGACACATATCCTGAAAAAAGCTTATTAAATGAGAGTTAATGAAAGGCTGATGAGCATACTGTGTATTTTCTTTATCAGTTGATTCTTCCTATATTTTGATCTGGTTACTCTTGTTGCATAACAAATTAACCCAGATCTTAATGGCTTGAAACAATTATTTTACCATGCTCACTGATTGCTCTGGGTCAGAAATCTTGACAGGGTAATGCAGGGACGGCTTGACTATATGTCTAGGGCCTTGGTTGGGATGACTTGATGGCTGGGAGCTAGAACTGTCTGAAGGTTTATTTATTCCCATGTCTAGGGCCGTGGGATGATTTAAAGACTAGCAGTGGTGACTGGAGTACTCACACTTTGACTCTTAGCATGCCATGGCAGCCTTGGGGGTAGCTGGACTTCTAACTCTAGCCACACGTCTAGCAAAGGGCAGAAGCCATGTTGCTTCTTATGACCCAGTCTTGGAAATCACACCGTATCACTTCCGCCATACTCTAGTGTTGGAAATAGTCATAAACCTTCCCAGATTCAAGGGGAGAAGAATTAGACTCCATTTCTTAATGGGGAATTGGGAAGCTTTGTGAGAAAGCACGTGAGGTCGGAGATATCGTGGTCACTTTTGGAAAGGACAGTCTGCCACATATGACATGTTTTCATTCCCAAAGTAGCCTAACTCCAGCCCCTAAGAGCAGTCCTTCCTGGGGGTAGAGTCCAGTGTGTTAACTGAAATACATAGACCATCTTACATATGTTAATAGATACTGGCTTTGACTTCCTTTACTGGTAAGCTTAATAAAAAAGCAAGTGAAGAGCAAAGTACATTACTATTTTACAACTAAATTTCACAACTTTGACCAGCAAGTAGAAGCATACTGTTAAAAAGTTAAGAAATCTAGGAGTTAAATAATCATTTGGTCTTAAGTGACTAATTAGTACCTATGTGATCAAGTATTGACTACATTCAAAATGTGTCTTGACAAGATGATTAAAAAACACCTTTTAAATGTTGTGGAAATGATCATTTGAATGGACACAGATCCTTACAAATGCGATGTGTTTAAAAGTTACATCTATATCTTTGGATTAGGAAATTTTTAGTTCTTGTATTTCACTCTGTGTGTCAGTTGAGCAATTAGCTGCTAGGAAATTTTTATGAAGCTTTTTAGAAATTATCTTAGTTGGCAAAATTTTGTGTCAGTGAAGCAGGGCAGTTGCTCCACATGTGACAACTTTCACACTGAATTTCGGTGTCTGCCTTTGACTTGGGTAGGTAGCAGCCCCCAAATAGTTACCATGTGTTGGCTACATGGTGGCCCATGTGAAGCACATTTGGTAGGTTTGCCCTGTTGCTAGCCAATACATGGATTTATCGCTTCTCGCACCACTGTTGTTTATTCAGTGATTTATTTAACAAACATTTCCTGGGCATTTACTGTATGCCAGGAAATCATAGTGAGGTGAGAGAGACAGAGGTGCAAACACAGAAATATGGTTAGAGCATGATAAATGCAAGAGTGAGAACAGGAACAAAATGTTCTGTCAGTCCAAAAGAGGGATGTGACCATGTGTAAATCTCCCCTTGAGCAGTCTCAGGAGAACTCAAGCTGTGTCTGAAGTGAAATCGGCAGGCAAGTGTTTTAGGCAGAAGCGATCTTGGCATTTGCTTCTCATAGCACTTTGAAAAGTAAGAAGTTCAGCTCAAAGAACAAAACCTCTTTCTATCTGTCAGCTTTAGAGAGCAGAGCAAAGTTTTACATATAATCCTAGAGGGATTTGCTAGCTGCCAGGCACTGTGATTCATCTGCCCCCTCCCTGGCTTTGCGTTGTTTCCATCTGTATTATCTTGGTGCTGATTCTCAGATGGCGTTATGGTCCAGATCACAGCAGAGAACATGGATGCTTTGAGGCAGGCACTGCGAGAGATGAAGGACTTCACCATCACCTGTGGCAAGGCAGATGCCGAGGACCCCCAGGAGCACATCTACATCCAGTGGGTGGATGATGACAAGAACGTCAACAAAGGGTAAATGTTTCCTCCCTTTCCCCCTTGGGGCATTTAGTTATGGTTTGGGCTCTGGGCTTTGTCTACACTGGTATTTATAACTTTACTGAACGCCCAAAGAGAAAGGACTGTTGTGTATATATAAGATAAAATTTTAAATTTCTAGTTTCTTGGCTTAGTTTCTGAAGGAGTTTCTCTGCCTGTTTTTGAAGAGGGGAGGAGGGAAGGAATTGATGAAACAAAACAGGCCTCTGAAGTTATTGAGCTAATAGTAATACCGAAGCCCTTTCTGGTTTTATAAAGAAAGTCCTTTTGCCAACATTGTTTCATTTGCTATAATAACTAGCCTTGTTTTCCCCATATTATAGATGAGTAAACAAGCACCAAAAGGCTAAATGACTCCACAAAGCAAGGAAGTGGCGGGGCTGGGACCTAAAACCACCTCCTGGGGCTTCCAGTCCTGCGCTCTTTCCCATTACAGGCCCGCTCTACTCTGAGGGCTCAAGCCAACACTTTGGAGTCACCTTTGACACTTCTTTTTCTCTCACACCCTGTACCTAACTCAACAGTAAATCCTGGCATTGTTATATTTTATAGTATATATTTGATATATCCTGTTATATTTTGCTTCAGCATATGTCCAGAATCGTACTACTTCTCACTACCTCTACTGCCACCATCCTGGTTCAGGCCACCATCATTTGGTCTGGGTTATTGGTAGGAGCCTTTGACGTGGCTTGCTTGTTTCTAGTCTTGACCTCCTCCTGCCCCCTAACCTAATCTGTTTCCAGTACAGCAGCCAGAGTAATGTCACTTCTCTGCTCAGAACCCACCATTAGCTTTCGGTATCATTCTGCATGAAAGCCAAAGTGTCTAAGGCCTCACACAACCTGTCCACCCTTTTACTTCACAGAAGCAACACCTGCCTTCTTGCCTGAACACGTCAACTCTACTTCTGCCCTCTGGCGTTTGCTCTTACTATTCTTTCACCTTGTACTCTGGCCTTCGATACAAGATAGCCAAATGAATCACCCCCTCACTGCCTTCAAGTTTTTTCTAAAATGTGTTTTCTCAGTAAGGCCTTCCCTTGGCCAACCTATCTAAATTATAACCCTCCCATACATATTTCTTCTCTCCCACCCCCGGTACTTCCTGTCCCCCTTCCTTGCATTACATTTCTCAAGAGAACTTATAATTTTCTAACATAAAATATACTTTTACTTATTATATTGCTCCTGGACTATAAACTTCATAACGGCAGGGATTTTTATCTGGTTTATTTATAGCTATATCACCAGAACCTAAAACACTGTGAGGCATCTAGTAGGTGCTTAAAAAAAAAAATGACTATATTATACATCATTGTATTAAGCTTTCTTTTATCCATTCACCCATCCCTTTTTCATTCCTTCCTTCAGGCAATAATTCTATGTGTAGGTCTCTAGAAATACAAAAATGAATTCCACACACTCCCTGCTGATAAGTGGTTCAGTCCTGTTTTGAAGATTGTTACAAATAAGTGCATCAAAGTATGGAAGATGCTCATAGAAAACTCTGTAGGAACACAGTGAAGATAAGAAAGAAAAGAGGAAGCTTGGTAGAGGTGGTAGGGTATTCAAGAAGACCTGCATAGAGAAATGGCTGCTGATTGATCTGAATCTGGTAAGATGAGTAGGTATTTGCCACATAGCTGTGGCAGAGTGGGCATTCCAGTCTGAGGGAATAGGAGCAAAGGCAGATTGAGGGCATAGACAACATGGCACACCCGATTTTTAAAGAATCTTTTAAAGCTTTTGTTATTAAACAAAAATCGGTGAGTATATTTGCCTATTTTACAAATAGTCCTCTATCTTCCCTTACTTCATTGGAAATCTTAATTTCGAAATCAATTTGTGTTTAGTTGGAAATGAACATGGTTATCAGGACGAAAAAATTGATTACCTGAAAATCTGATGCCATAGGTATCAGTAACTGATAACAAGCAGGTTGCCCCTTCCTACAAGTGCCAGTGGCAGCATCTTAGAAAACAGGACAAGAACTAGTTAGGGAGGACTGTCAAATTCAGGGGTTTAGTTTGTAGTGTGTAAATTGAATATTTTCCAGCTTGTCCCTCAGTGTCTGGGTATCCTCTCTAAAAGAGTACTAATCAACTAAGAGTGGCCCTTTTTGACATCATGTCATGAGTTAGAAATTAAATTCAGTGTTGTTTAAATAATTTTAATTCAAGTGAATGAAGTAAATCCCTGATATTGAAGTTTAAGTTCAACTTGATCTTTTTACATGGAGATTAGAAAACACACAGATTTGAATCTTGTTAGGAAGAGTTTGGAGTCTTTGTGACAATTATTTTGAATCCTCATCAGAATGAGTGTCAATCTCCACCTGTTTATACTTGCTATATTTTGGAGAGGAAATGACTATAAAAAATGACCTTTCTGTTTAGGAATCTAGGAGTGATAATTTAGCACTAAAGGGAATTTGTTGTGATAATAGTATAAATACTTGTTCATGAGCTCACAACAGCACTGTCATAATTAACATACTGGTCAAGTAATTCTTTCAATCAGTAGACATTTATTAAACTCCCATGTTCCAAGCAGTATGTCAGAACTGGGAATACAGCACACAGAGGTGAGTGTATCATGTTCCCTCATCTGAAGTCCATCTGTGAGGCAGATCTGCAAACATGTGTGAGTGTGATTGTTGTCTGGAGCAGCGTGTGTGACAGAGCAGAGGGGAGAGCAAGACTGGGTGGCCGTGCACTCACTGCAGGAAGGAATGCTGGGAGAAGAGGGCAGGTTTGAGTAAACGATTTTTTTACATTGAAAGAACCAGCTCCTGGAATCATGGCTCCTTTTTTATATGTGTTCTTCGAATTATTTCATTGCACAGGACCTTCCCACGAGAGCTCTATTCATGTACATCTTTGTGCAGTGTCTTTCTTGCTGTGATGTGTTGCTCAGATGTGTTCAGCAAAGCACCCAGTGTAATTAGTAGCAAGACTTGATAAGTGATTCTTCTAACTACAGGAGCTGCTTCCATCTCTTTCCTTTGCCTCTATTGTAGTGTTATAAGTCCTATAGATGGGAAGTCCATGGAGTCTATAACAAGTGTGAAAATATTCCATGGATCGGAGTATAAAGCAAATGGAAAAGTCATCAGATGGACAGAGGTAAGGAAATGAAACTTGGCATTCTTTTTTTTTTTTTTAAAGGCTTGCCTGAAAAACTTATTTATTTTTGAGAGAGAGAGAGAAAGAGAATGTGTACATGCACACCAGCAGGGGTAGGGCAGAGGGAGGTAGGGAGAGAGAGAGAGAGAGAGAGTGAGAGAGAGAGATAGAGACAGAGAGAATCCCAAACAAGCTCCACACTCAGTGCAGAGCCTGAAGTGGGTCACAGCTGTGAGATCATGACCTGAACTGAAATCAAGAGTCAGACGTTCAACCGACTGAGCCACCCAGGTGCCATGAAACTTGGCATTCTTGATTCTCTTTGAGCACAACTTTTTGTTAGGCTCAGACATACATTGTGGGCTGATTCTGGAGGACAAGGAAAGAAAAGCTCTCTGTTTACCTTCTATACTCCAATTCCCTCTGGTCTGTCTCTGCTCACCAGGAAGAAATGCCACCAAGTACAGCCTGTAGCAATCTGATGTCTCTTTTTTCTTATGAATGAGCTTTTAGAGATTTGTTTGCATTAGAATTCAAGAAGGATGCATCTCTGAATGGCATATACCATCTTTGCTTTATTCTTTAGAATACTGGACTAGTTATGCTGTACTCACAGTTAAAAGTATATTAGATAACATACTCTTTAAAAATAGGCTTATGTCACCAATAAGAAAACTAAAGCTCAGATACTCAGCAACTTGTCCAAGATAACAAAGCAAATAAGTAATGGCAAAGTCCTGTTTCAAACCCAGATCCAGCCAGCTCCTAAGCTCTTTTGCACTATGTGTTGCCTTACTTGAAATCTGTATGAGAGGCTAACCTGGGAATGAGAGGAGCAGGGCAGGGACCCTGTATGTGTGTAATATCAGACAAACCGGGAAGTTTATTCTCTGAGAATAAACAGGGAGGTCATAGATCTCTGAATTTCTTTTGAATCTCAGTTGTACTGTATAAAAATAATACATTAAATTCTAAGAACTCTAGAATTCCTTGCAGCTTTAAAAGTCTTAATTTTTAAAAAATGTTTATTTTTGAGATAGAGAGCACAAGTGGGGGAGAGGCAGAGAGAGAAGGGGACAGAGGATCCAAATTGCACTCTGTGCTGACAGCAGAGTGCCTGATACGGAGCTCACACTTACAAATCATGAGATCGTGACCTGAGCTGAAGTCAGACACTTAATCAACTGAGCCACCCAGGCACCCAAAAGTCTTAATTTTTAAAAAAAATTCTGACTTCTAGCTTTTCCATTTTACACACAAGGTAACTCAAGCCAAGAGAAGTTCAATGCCTTACCAAAGTTAATTCACATAGCTGGTTTATGAGAGCAGGAGACTAGAAACTGTTCTCTGTTTCTCGACCTGTTATTCCAAGTAACTTATCCTTCATACCACCAGGCTCAGTGTTTTCATATGCAGTTCAGTGGTCTTAGGAGCTTACTTTGTAATGATTATCCCTTTGACACATTTCAAGTAGTGCAGTCTGGACCACGTGGAGCTCCTTATCACTATTTGACCTATTTTCCCTCCCTTTTGCTTGCCTGTAACCCAGTGAGGCAGCAGTGTGACCCATCTCATTTGCATAATGTGAGAAAACAGGCTCCAAGAGACCTGGCAGAGCAGAGACCAGAGGTCTTCTGATGCCCAGTGCAGAGCTCTGCTTGTCATTTCACGGTGCTACTCTCACTAGTACGTGGGCTTCAGGGATGTCCCCTTTGTAGTATTCTTTGTATAAGCCACTTACTGAGCAGTAAGCTAGGGGAAAGTATGTATAAGCATGGTGTTTTTGCATATCTGTATCTTCTCTATTATGCTTTTATATAATTTACGATAACCAAGAAGATGGGGCTTTCATTTAAAAAAAAAATTTTTAATGTTTATTTTTGAGAGAGAGAGATTGAACGAGCGGGTAAAGGGCAGAGAGAGGGAGACAGAGGATCTGAAATGGGTTTTTTTGCTGACCACAGAGAGCCCAGTGCAGGGCTCGAACTCATGAACCATGAGATCATGACCTGAGCCGGAGTCAGATGCTCAACCGGCTGAGCCACCCAGGTGCCCCAAGACAGGTGCCTTCTATTTTACAAAGGCACAATTGGACATTAAGAAGTCAAAGGACTTGCTCACAACCCTCCTCTATGTGACTAGGACTTGGGTCTCTTAGTTCCAATCTTGCTGTGCTTCTGATTCTGCACTGGCACCTCTGCACCTCTGCTCAGCTTGGTGCAAGGACACTAACTCAGTTCCCGCCTCAGCAGTGGCATGGCCATGTGGCAGAACTCTGTAATGAGAGGCAGCAGACTCAGATTCTTGGCTTGGCCTTGCCTCTTTCTCTCAGGACTTTTGTGCACTTGAGCAAGTCACTTCTCTGAGTGATCTGTAACATGAAGGGGTTGGGTCACATAATCTGTAAGAGCTGTCCTCTTAGATTCCAAGATCATTTCCTAAGGAGACTGTGCATGTATAAGGATTACCATTTAGAAGTGCACAGTGCTAAATGTAAGCCTTTTCTGGTTTTGAGTAGAACATAGGATTATGACCATGGCTGAAACCAGGGAGATAGATAGGTCTTCCTGCACAGCAGGGGATCGGGGTGCTCATACACAGTGAGCTCATGCACATCTCCTGGGCGCAAGGCTAAAGTCTCTTTTGTTTGGGGGAACAGGTGTTTTTCCTAGAAAACGATGACCAGCACAGTTGCCTGAGTGATCCTGCAGATCATAGCCGATTGACTGAGCACGTTGCCAAGGCTTTTTGCCTTGCTCTCTGTCCCCACTTGAAGCTTCTGAAGGAAGATGGAATGACTAAACTAGGCCTACGTGTGACACTTGACTCAGATCAGGTAAGAAGAGTCTTAGGTAGCCTTGGAAGGTGGGCTTGAGCAGTGTCTGTATTTTCTGACATGTGACTTTTCCTGCATCAACCCAGAGACCTTAATTCTCTGGGCCTTCTGACCTTGCCTGTTAGTCATGTACCTAGATGTGCTGCTTAGTGAGACTCTCTCTGAACCATTTGAATCTTGGCTTCCTCACCTGAATGTCTCCCAAGGACTTACTTGTGAGTGTGGGGTAAGGATGGGAAGTGTGTGTGAGGACTTGCCACCCCTGTATGAATAGCATCAGTGCTCCTCTTTGAGACTCCCCAGTTCCACTCTTCAGGAATTGCTCTGCAGCCTTTAGACAGCAAGTTCCAAGCTGTCCCATATCCTGTTTTGTTTTGTTTTGTAAGTTTGAGAGAGAGAGGGAGAGTGCGCACATGCGCAAGTGGAGAGGGGCAGAGAATCCCAAGCAGGCTCCGCACTGCCAGCACAGAGCCTGACGCAGGGCTTGAACTCATGCAACTTTCAGATCATGACCTGAGCTGAAGTCAGACGCTTAACCAACTGAGCCACCCACGCGCTCCTATCCTGTTGTTCTTAATCCAGCTGCAGCAGGCTTCTGCTGCTAGGCCTCTGCACCTCTCACTCCTTAAGGTTTTTCCGTTAACATTTCTGTGCCAGTTAGTGGGTGAGGACTTGATGTGTTTCCCCAATAGTTTTCCTGTCAGCTCGGGTCTCCTGTGGCCAGGCTTTCCTTCCTGTCTTACTTCATGTTTCTGTATGCTGTCTGTATAACAGTCCACACCTGCCCTACACCCCCCACCCCCCCCTGCCCGGTCCCTTGTTCCAGTGTCTCTCTCCTGTGGTCTTGGACTCTAATTTCCATTTTGGATTGTTGTGACATGTCCCAACACTGCTCATGCTTTAAGGCAGTGTTGTGTCCCTATCAGGGAAAATGTGAAAAGTTATGTGTCTGGTTCTACTTCCTGACTAGTCCTCAATCAACATACGTATTTTCTACTCAAGGTCTTGCCTAGTGTGGTACTAATACGCCTATCAGGGTAATACAAATGAGGTATCATGGTCCTTTCTCAAATGATACTGATAACCTTGTTAGAGAATTACCTTACATGCAACAATTAAAGAACAGGCATTTTTTCTGCCTTTTGAGGGCGGGGGTCCTGTTACATTTATCTTTGAATTGCTGTGTATGTAGGTGCTCAGAAAATGGTCTGTGGGTGAACAGATGGACGAGAGAACAAATGTTCAGTTCCTGTTGTTAGGGAGTTAGTTGTACCTTATATATTTTTAATTTCCACAACCAAAGGTTTAGGTATTTCTGATATTCCATACCTCTCTATGCTGCCCCCCCTCCCCCCCCACCGTCTACCCTTTCCTGGAAAACTAAGGCCTTAACAGGTTAGGTGTCTTGCCCAAGTCTCACAGCTACCAAGCAGCAAGGTCAGGATGAATAAGCGACAGTATAATAAATAACAATTCAGGGAAGAGAAGGAGAACCTTGTGTTAACTGCTGTATGTCTAGTCCATGGCCAAAAAGGACATCTTTTCCAGCTCAGCCTCCTTGGCCCTCAGCCCTCTCAAGAGGCCTTCTCTGTCCAGTAACCTGTCATCTCCTTCTTTCTGCGCTCTAGGTTGGCTATCAAGCAGGGAGCAATGGCCAGCCCCTTCCCTCACAGTACATGAATGATCTGGACAGCGCTTTGGTGCCGGTGATCCATGGAGGGGCCTGCCAGCTCAGTGAGGGCCCCATTGTCATGGAACTCATCTTTTATATTCTGGAAAACATCGCATAGACAGAGGACTTCATTGTTTGTCTGTTGAGACCTGTTACAACAGCAGTCATACCCAAATCATTTGCACTTTAGAACTGGAAGATTAAGCTTTTGTTAACACTATTAAATGGGGGGTGGGGTGGGAGTGGGGATTGGGGCCAGGGTGGGAAAGGGTGGTCGGGGGGACAGATGTTCCATAATTCTGAGTCTTCTATGCATTGTCCACCAAGAAGATCTGGGCAGCTTCTGTTACTGCACAAGTTATGCTATCCTTGCCGCTAATTCCTTCCGTTACTGTTTAGACAAAAATTCTGCTCCTGTTTTAAGATTTACTTATGGTCTTGTGCTCAGAAATGCGCAAATGGGTATAACCATCACCAAGGATGGGGCTGGGAGGGCAGAGGGGAAATAAAAAATGAAGCATTGGTCTTGCACTTTTTGTACAGAATTGATATAAAAAGGAGAATTCCACTGGTTTTGTCCCGCTTACATCACAGTGACTTCAAGTAGAATTTACACTTAGATTTCTATTTGTTTTTTACCAGATTATTCACTGAAGTGAATCAGAGACCCAGCGGATTCTCTCTTCTATCCAAGGAAAAGCGACTCAGTGTAAATGAGGTCGCTTGGATAGCAGAGCCAAGTTCAGGATTACTCAAGATCTGCCCGAGTGAATGGCAGGTACTGAATTGAGTCTTTCTGTGAAAATAGAATATATTCAAGACATTTTTATACACTAGAGGTTTTAAAAAAAAAATTATTGAGAAATAATTTAAACTTCCAGGAAAGTTGCAAGTATAAAAAAACCTACGTACACTTTACCTAGATTCACCTATTGTTCACATATTAACATTTTGTCACATTTGCTTTAAGATATCTGAGAGTAAGTTGCATATATCATAGTCCTTTACCCCTAAATAATGTTCAGTTCCTAAAAATAAGGACATCTTCCTGCATAACTGCAATTTCAGCCAATTTAACATTAATAGGACACTTGAACCTAGCATCTCTCCAGTCATGCCCTTTATAGCCTTTTCTCTTGCAGTAAAGCTTCCAGCCTAGGATCAGACTTGGCAAGTAGCTTTCCTGACTCACCTTTGTGACATTGATATTTTTGATGAGTATAGGATCCCCCACCCCATTTAAAATTTTTTTTGTTTATTTATTTTTGAAAGAGAGGGAGAGACAGAGCTTGAGAGGGGAAAGGCCAGAAAGAGAGGGAGACACAGAATCTGAAGCAGGCTCCAGGCTCCAAGCTGTCAGCACACAGCCCGATGCAGGGCTCGAACTCATGAACCGCTAGATCAAGACCTGAGCTGAAGTCGGACGCTGAACCGACTGAGCCACCCAGGTGCCCCCTTCCCCCCATTTTTTAATAGAGAATGCCTTATGTTTGGTGCTTTCTCATAATTAGAATCAGTTTATGCATTCTTGGCCAGAATCCTTAGAGTTGCTGTGTCCTTTTTTAAGGCCTCACACCTAGGGTCATGTGGGATCTGTTCTGCTCATTGATGATGGTAAATTTTGATCACCTGGTCAGAGTGTGGTCCAATTTCTCCACTGTTTTTCCTCTTGGAATGAATAACCAATATGTGTAGAGACATTTTCAGATCATATAAATATTTTATCAGAAATCTCCCTTAGATTTAGCATCCACTGATGCTTCTTGTCTGATTGATCTTTTACTGTGATGGCTACAAAATGGTGTTTTTAGTTCTAGCACTCTACCTTTAGCAGTTACACTTGGTCATCTATAAGCGAAAGCCCTTCTTTCTTTTCGATCTATTCATTTAATTTTCATTATGGACTCATGGATCACTTTTTGAGTGATTCTCATTCATTACTTTCATGCTCATATGGTCTCAGCTTTGTCCAGAGAACCCCTTCAGGCTAGCTCCAACATCCTTGTTATATGCTCCCACCATTTTTTTTTTTTTTTTTTTTTTTTTTTAACATTTCCTTTTCTGGCCTAAGAAGATGCTTGCTCCCAGCTCATCTTGAGCTTACCCTGCCTCAGCTTTGGAATCAGCCATGGCTTCTTTTAGTGGGAGTGGTATTAGAATCCAAGATTTGGTTTACCCTTGATATATGTGATGCACTCTGATCATTTTTTTTTTCATTTAAATTTCTCCTAGTCACAGATCAAATGGATTTTGCAACTCAGTTTGAAAAATATCGGTCTAGGGCAACTCCTTTGTTACTGCCATCTTCTTGAAGCCCTAGCTAAGCCGGAAACAGGAGTCAGTCCCTCTGCACTAAGACAGCTCCCAAGAATCCACTAGAAGTTCATGCAGGCCTCTGGGACAGGGAGAGGCTTCTCCCCAGGGGCTAAAGTTGGATTTAGCATTTGGCAATTATGGGCTGTGGAATCCTACATTAGAGCAGTTTTCCAAACAGAGGCCCAGAGGCCTGGCCTTTTAAGTGTGTTTAGTTAGGTTTATTCCTCTTCCGTGGTAGTGGGGATTCACATCTACCTCTGTCTCTCCATAGCCTTTATTGATGGTAGCTGCAGATCTCTGATTGTGACCTTCCCACAGACTCAAAGTACTCAAGAGCTTCTAAGGGAAAAAAAGTTGATGCCCACAGCACACCAGCTTGCAAAGACTGAGCCCTGGAACCACCACCCACCAAACCTGATAGAAACAGGAAACACTTAATAGGGGCAGGTATTCCGGGTATAACATCCAGCATGGTCTACATATACCTTAGAAGTTTAGAGAGTCTATAGGAGCTGGTTTGATTTTCCTATAGAAGTTGATCTTCCTGCTCAGTACATTTTGCAGTTGTACCTATTTCTTCTGGATCAGTATAAGCTTTTGAATTCTCCCACTAAACAACAAGCTCTGGCCCTGCAGAGTCAAGCCTGTTCTCAACTATATAAAATATCCTTTATGTTTAGTAAAATCATCTTGTGGAGCTGAGCATAAAATAACCAAAGTTAGTTTACTTTTTCCCCCTTGTTTTATTTCTATATATTGTATAAGAATTCTATCAAGTGGAGGACTGAAACCTCACGTTTCTAACTAAGTATAATTTTCTAGAATATAAACTTAAAAGACTGAGATATAGAGATCTTTGTAAGGAAAAAAAGAATTGCCATTGTGGTAACTTACTAAATTTTTAAAAAAATTATTGAATTCTTACCAAATGCCAGGCAGTGTAGTTTCTCCATGTATTTTTATTGACACTTTCTGAGCACTTGCTGGTCTCCAGGGCTACAGAAACTTTGCCCTAAGTTCCCATCTAATGTCTTCCATCATCCATCAGGATGGTTCCATCAGGAACCATTCAGTGGTTCCTGAATGCTGGTGGGCCCCAAATTTCAAAATGGATTTACTTCTATCATAACTAACCACTGGGGAATAATTTTTGCATCTAATGTGTTTCAGTCATCAAGCAATGTGAACACTGTTTCTATAACATGTTTGTGGTAGTGGTTTCTATTTTAATAATAATGGTAATGAGATTTTTAGGGACTGAATGGCCAGAAAGGCCAAAGAATAGAGCAGGAATGATAATGCCCAGTTTAGAGCTCGGGAATCTGAGGCCCTGAGAGGGAAGAATCTGTGATGGCACTGGACCAGGTGCAAGCTTCCTGGCTCTACCAGTCTCAGCCCCACAGTTTCATCCTAAAAGGAACTACTTTTACTTAAGGGACAAAATCTTTTAGGAGCTGCCCAGAAACCTTTAGAAAACATGCTCAGAATTTAGAAGTAATAATGCAGGTTTCACAACGGTGCTGTAAGAAAGGGAAGTAATGTTAAAGTCACAAAATATTTTTGCCCTTTAATAAGATAAATTTCTAAAAAAATATTTTATTCCATATTTTGTTCATCTCAGTAATTCTGAAGAAAGCATGTCTTGCGCTAGATAGAAGAATTTAAAATGTAAAGCTATTTGGGTTGTGCCTGGTTCCCAAATGCCCAGGAATCACTGATCTCTGATGTTTGGTTGTTACATTAGGACAAATCTTGGGACAAGGAGGCGGAGTAGGCTCCTCCCACTACCAGTGACCCCTGCATGCCTTGGCTGCAACAAAGGCCTTTTAAGAATCTCAGTTTCCAAGTCCAATGGGCGGCTTTGTCTTGCCTTCCTTAGCCTGGAGGTTCTGTTTTCCAAAAGCAAAGGGTAATGAAACAGACTGAAGTAGAACAGGTTGTGAAGGGAAATCCTTGAGGCACAGAAAACTTCCTATCACATTGGAATAGGGCATTTCTAGCACAGGCCTGGGTTCAAAAATCCCTAGGGCTGGTTGTTGAAACCTTTGAGGATAAATAGCCACAGCTGTCCACGTGGCCCTCTTAGTAAGCACCATGTTGGGTGCAAACCCTTAGGGGAAGACTAGGTTGGGTCAGGAACCCTCCTGACCACCCCTCTTTGCTCTAGGTCACCTTAAGAAGCCCAACAATCCTTTTTAATTCTAGATTACTGCTTGTTTGACACACAGATAGGATTGCAATGAAGTGTTAAATCTCACATCTGTGGAAATGTTGGTAGTTCACACATAGGTAAGTAAGACTGGCCAGAAAGCTTTTAGAAAACAGTCTTGTCATTCCTGTCCTGTTATCCACTAACAGCTCTACTCTTAAGGGCAGGAAGCATGGTCCAGCCCTATCCTGGGAAAAGACACATAAAAGCTCAATCCCTGAGCTGTGCTTATGCAATACTATAGTGACCAGTAAGCTGAATGTATTTGCTTCACTCGTAGCCTTTAAAAAATCCTGAGGAATGCTTTGTTGAACCTAAGTTAATGCTTCAAAAAAAGGGGGGGAAATGAGATATTAAAGTTTATTTCTAAGAAATGCAAAATATTGCAGTTTTGAATATTAAATCTATTGTAATTTATAAATCCCTCCATCGTCTCCATCCATTCAGAAAAACAAAGCCAAAGGAGGATCTCTTAGGAAGGAACTAAGGGATTCTTCTCACTGATCCTCGGAAGACACAAGGCTTCCCCTTGCCCTCTCTCAAAAGAGGAAGCCATAGCAGCAGTTTCTGTCAATTAACAAATGTTACTGCCACTCCTGCTTTAAAAGTGACAGGGAACAGGGCTTTTATTTAGGACTTTGATGATCACTCTTCATATAGAGTGTAAAACCCCTATAATGAATTAGATCTAGTTTCTTAAA